TTCTTTCTTTCTTTCTTTCTTTCTTTCTTTCTTTCTTTCTTTTTGGTACCAGGGATTCAACTTGGGACTTTGCGCTTTCAAGGCAGGCGGCAGAACCACTGAGCTAAATCCCCAGCCCGGGGAGAGAGTTTTTATGGTCTATCGCCAGCCTGGGAAGAGATTCATATTCAAAATCTGAACTAGGCTTTCTATCTTGTGCATATCAATTTCCTACCATTGTAAAGTTGAAAACTCATACATCAAAAGTCAGGGACCGCCTGTATTTATATCAACCTACAAGAGAAGATTTAGATTGGGATATGAAGAAGAGAGAGATCTGAGAAATACCGGAGAGGCCAAAATAATCAGGACCTGGTCATGGACTGGGTACACCTGACATCAAACTTCACCTTTGCTTATATATATCATGTGATAAAACAAATGTTTTTACACATTCTCATATTTGTTTTTTAGTTTTTTCTTTCAGTTTACATTTGAGACTCTTACCTGATACAACTCCAAATAGATAAGACTAATGATAGTAAACATCAGAAAATATTTTCAAATTATTGTGATGACACATGGCCTTATAATGCTGGATTTTATAACAAAGCATTCTGACTTCTGTCCCATTCATTTGGATAATGCTATACTATTTAGAAAATTGAAATGTGTTTTAAAAATATGACAGGCTTTAGCTGGGCATGGTGGCACATTCCTGTGATCTCAGTACTCAGGGAGGCTGAGGCAGGAGGCTCACAAATTTGAGGCAGCCTGGGCAATTGAATGACTTAGTGAGACCCTGTCCCAAAATTTAAAAAGAGAATTTTTTTTTAAAGGACTGGATTACAGCTCAGGGCTAGAGGCCTGGGTTCAATCCCCATACTGGGGTGGGGATAACGCTTTTGCCTGTGCCCGTGTGCCCCTGTTAGAGAAAGACCCAAAATTAATGTAATTCTTTTTCTTTAAATACAAATTCTGTGCTCCGTTTCTAGAAATGAAATTAGTTGCTTAGGAATAATAGTTTGATTTTCCACCATAATAATTTCAGTTATTCTTTTTCCACTTAAACAGAGCTACACAGAGCAAATTAAGGACAGATACGTATTTATAATGCACATGCCTCTTCCCCGATGCACTCGCATGATTTCTTTCTGTGTCAGCACTATGCTCAATGTAATTTCAACCGATGGAGTAGCTTCCACTATGTTGGCTTTTTAAACAACTAGATTTTTATGTACTTCCCTTTCCTGTCTCCATAAAGAACAAAGAAAAAAGAGATATGGACCAAGGCACAGAATGTCTTCAAAAAAAAGAAGGAGCTAAATCAAAGCAGAAGGACTCAGAGCTCAGGAGCACCTGATAGAAATTCCAGTGTCTTGGCTCAATATCTCTTCATTTAGAAGAAACTTAAACAATGGCATGTGATCCTATGGGCTCCTTTGATTTCCCAAAAATTCCCTCTTACACATAAAAGACAAAGCCTTTGAGAATTTACTGGTGTTATTTACTTAAAATACTTCTGGATTCTATCATAGATGTCATAAAAATACCACAATTGCTGCTCTCTCTTAACTCTCCAAGATGTTCTAAAGAGTGAACATTGTCAAAGGAAAAAAAAAAAGATTGCTTGACCAAGGAATCATGCATTTTGGGCAAAGCATGTTCATGATGATTAAAAGATATAAAGGACTTGATTTAAGGGACTGATTGCATTAAATGCCGGGAAAATAAATCACAAGAACAAAATGATTTTGAAAAGATTTAAGTATATATTAATTGGAAAATATACAGAATTTTGAATTCCAGTGGCTGAGGTGTTGCTGAACAGTGTGCTTAGCATGTGTAAGGCCGTGAGTTAAATCCCCAGGAAACTGCCCCCAATCCTGGAAGCATTTTAAAAATATTTAATGTTCCAACTGTAAAAATATATGTGAGCAAAATACAAGAAGTTTTTGATGAACTCTTCAAGGCAATCTTCTTGCCTTAGCCTCCTGAGTGTGGGGATTACAAGCATACACTACCACCCCTGGCTTTAAATGGATTGTTTACACATAATTTGGGGTCTTCCTTTAACACAACAATGCTCTGTATATTTGAACATCATCTATTTAAAGTTATTCCAAATATTAAAGAACCTAATTCAATCATTCCCCACTCATTAAAATACTCTAATTTTTATTTTTACTAGTTTATGAGCTTTTAAAGTGAGTACAAGCAAGTACCACAGAAAAATACTATATTCTTAAAACAACATTTAGGCTTTCTAAGAGTAAAAAAAATTAAGATACTGATAGTTTCTGTAGTCTTTTATACTAGAAATAGGAAACTTAACAGTTGAATATACATACATCATTAAATTTATCTATTTATATTGGTATCATTATTTTGATCTTTTGTTTAATTTGTAAAAGCAAAATTCACATGTAAAATAAATTGCTGATTTCAACCGTGGTACACCCTCAATTTTAAGAAAAAGAAACAGAAGCTAGGGTGAAGGGCGCACAGGTAATGGGGGAAAAAATAAGAAAGAACTAAGATACATCATGTACAGGTACAAGCACCCAGTGATAAATGTAAACATATTGTGGCTGGGGATTTAGCTCAGTGGTTCTACTGCCTGCCTCGCAAGTGGAAGGACCCGAGTTCTATCCCCGGTACCAAAAAAAAAAAAAAAGTGAACGTATTGTATACCTAAAATGTACCAATAAAAGAATTATATATATAAAAAAAAGAAACAGAAGCTAAAAAATTCTAACTTAAATCAGGAGCTTTCATGTTTGATTATTCCTAATTAAGGTTTCATTTTCCTAATAAGAATAGTGTAATAGACTTTCTTTGAATAGGATTTCCTAGTCTCACAAGCATCACTGAGTAAAAAACTAAACAGTTGTCCTGGAATACCTGCATTCTGGGAGACTGAGGCAGGAGAATTGCAAATGTGAGTCCAGCCTGGCAATATTGCCAGACTCTGTCTCAAAATTTAAAAATTAAAAAGGACTTGGGTTGTATCTTTGTGCAAAGGCCCTGGGTTCAAACCCCAGTGTCATACGATAAAATGAAATAAAACTGACAGGTGTAATAGGGGTTCTAAAACAGTAGCTGTCATCTTTTCTCCGTAACCAAAAGCTGTAGAGGTAGCAAAGGGGATTATTTTAATTCATTCACACCTGAAAATTTCCCAGATTCCATTTAAATCGGTAGTGCTCGATTCTGCGCGCACGGCATGACAGCTGATTTCTAAAACCATATTTCTGAGCTCTTTCGTTGTCTAACCTCGGTTGGGTTGCATGCTCCAAAGAGAGTTTGGTGACCCCGCTGAACGGCCTCCCTCCCTCCACCCTCAGTGCCGCAGCCGAAGCCGACGCTCTCGGGCCCTTGACAAGCACGCTGTCCAGTAAGCGCGACGGCGCCGTGGCCAATGCGGCCACCGTACTGATGAACATGGCGATGCAGGAGCCACTGCGCGCTGCCGTGCAGAGCCAAGACGTCCTGCAGGCCCTCATCGGCCCGCTGGGCTCTGCCAACACCGTGGTGCAGAGCAAGGCCGCCCTTGCCGTCGCGACCACCGTCTGTGACGTGGAGGCTCGCGCGGAGGTGAGTTTCCCTGGTCAGGACGGACTAGTGGATTAATGAGAAACGTTTTCAAGCATTTGAACCCACCTGCCCTTTAATTCCGCCAGAATTGCAACAGTACTTTGGAAAGCAGGCTTTTTTTTTTTTTTTTTTTTTTCTTTTTCTCCTCCTTTCTTCCTTTTTTTCAGTTCTCTCCCTTCTTGTTCCTGTTTTTCCTGTTTTTTTTTAAAGCAAAGATGGTGAGTGTACCCTGGCAACCTGGCAATTGTGTTCCAGGTATTTATATACTGAAGAGAACCTGTCACCCCTGTGTACCAGGAAGCCTTGCCTGTAACATCTAACTGGAAGCAAAGCATTTGTCCCACTCTTAATAGATAAGTAATGGTGCATTCGTAAAATGTGGTCTCATGTCAGTGAAAATGAATGAACTGAAGCTCCAGAGAGCAGGGATGAATTTCACAAGCGTTATGCTGAGTTGAAATAAGGTATAGAAGAGCATGTACTTAAAACTATGCAAATCCAAGCTATGTGTTGTTTAGGCGTACATATGTATAAGCTAAAAAGCTGAAACTAAGGAAAAGCAAGGTGATGATAATTAATCCCAAATTCAAGAAACTGGTTGCCTGAGGAGAGTAAGAGAGTGGATGGGGTTGGGACAACACAAAGACTCCATATAAATGCGCAGTTTCTTAAAGTAGGCAGTAGACAAACAGGTGTGTCTTCTTCTAGAATTCTTTATACTGTGTGCTCTTGAGCTTCTCTTATATTTCATATCCTCAGAATGTAGAATTGAATTCTTGGATAATTGATCCTATAAAAATCTTCTTAGTGCTTATAATGATTCTATTAAACCTTCGTTACAATTTTATATAAATGTGCAAACATCCATTTTCTCTTGACTTTCTCTTATTTACTTGTCACTATCATATATATCAGTTCAAACAGCCTAGGATTTTGTTCCTCTCTCCCAACAAAAGTAATGAAACTTAACATTTATTGAGCACCTACTATGTGCTGGACACTGTATATGCATGGAAGCTTCACTTGAAATAAGTATGCTTATAATCCCCATTTTACAGGCTTGGAGACATATGTGCTTAAGGTAGAGTTGGTAAGTATTAGATCAGGGACATGAGAACGATCTAATTCCAGAGCCCTAGCTTCGCATTATGTTGTCTGTTTTGACAACTACCTAATCTGTTTTCTTCTCTCTCAGATATCTCTTCTACCTCCTTTCCTTGTTCCCATTGGCTCAGTTCATTTATATTTGCCCATTCAGGAAGGAAAAGAGCCACCAGACATTTACCAACTATTATGTGCCAGGTATCATACTAGGCATCAGGAACACAGGGATAATAAGAGTGTTGCAGGCAACTCCATGAGCTTGCAGAGGAGTCTGTCTAGTTCCTGGAGTATTCAGAAAGCTGTGCTTTCCCTCCGCATACCGCCTCCAGATTGATCTTTCAGATGTGTCAACCTCATACACCATTCAAGTCCCCAGTGGCTTGCCATTGCCATAAGGAAAGAGGCTCCTAGCACCCTGTGCAAGGGCCCTGGTGTATCTGCCTCCTTACATGGCCCGAGCTGCAGCTCTTTGCAGCTGGATCTCCACACCCCGCAACACCACACTCTGTAATTCTATCAGAATGTGCCATTCTCCCATTTATACCTCCTCAATTTCTCTGCATGGAAAACCAGTCTACCTTTCATCCACCATAAATTCCTCTTGGTCTTTCAAAACCCAGCTCAGGGGCTGGGATGTAGCTCAGTGGTACAGCACTTGCTTAGTCTGCACGAGCCCTGGGCTTGATCCCCAGAATGATCAATTAAAAAAAAAAAAAATCAGCCTGCTCAGCTATTCTGTGTTCCACCAGGGTTTCTTTCAGTCCTCAAGCTTATTCTAGTTACACTCTGTAGATTGCTCCCTTGGCTTCTTTTCTTCATATTTTATTGTTCTTGCATTAAGAACTTTAGGGAAAGCAACAGAGAATTTTCTACCCCATGTCCACGTCTTTAATATATACATGGTACATACTATGCACTTAATACTTGTTAAAGGAACCAGGGAATAAATGGAGGAATTAATGGACTCACTAGATCTTTACCAAAAAGAACACATGGAATTAGAGTAGTATCTTGTACTACACGCAGGAATAAAGATGTTCGGCAGTTTGACCGGCCAAGTGTGGGGTGCTAATGAGCTTTTAGGAGCTGCCCAAGTCATTTATATATGCTAATGTACGAGCCTGGTTGAGATGAGTGGCTGCACATGGGACACAGTCGGTAAGGCTCTGGACTTCGGGTGCTGTCTTTGACACTAGTATTTGGTAGAATAGTTTTTATTGTCCAGCTCAGATAATGCTGTCTTGCGTTTTAGATGTGAAACAACTCTGTCGGGGTTTTTTCTGATTGGAATAATTTGTACCTGAGTAATTTCTTTTCATAATGTAATTAGTATAGTCCCATCCAAGTTCTTTTCTTGTTCTTTTTCTTCTCTAGTCCTTGAAGAAGCAAAACGCACTGTAATGTTAGCCAAAATGGGTCTTTTTCTAGAGAATTGCTTCAGTATTGCTCTGACCACTGTGCTGACCTGGTGCCTGTGTCCAGAGATGTGGGTGGTGCTTGCCTGCTTGATTTCTCCTTCTCTGGCTGGAGGACTGTATTAGTTTCCTATTGCTACTGTAACAAAACACTACCACTAAGCCACTTATCAATAAAAATCTATTAGCTCACAGCTTGGGAGGTCAGAAATCAAAAACAGAAACAAAAAATGGGTCTTAAGAACTAAAATCAGAATGTCAGTGGGGCTGTGGTCCCTCTGGAGGCTTTAGAAAAATCCATTTCTTTATTTTTGCAGCTCCTAGAAGCCACCTGCATGCAGTCCTTGGCTCAGGGTTCTGTCCTCCATCTTCAAAGTATATCACTCCAATACCCGCTTCCATCACATCTGCTTTTTGTGCTTCTGGCACTGCTGTCTTGCTTCCTTAAGGATCCTTGTGGTTATATTCGGCCCACTGGATAATCAAGAAGAATCTCCCAATCTCAAAATCCTTAATTTAACCTCATGTGAAAAGACCCTTACAGGGGAAAGAATCTCTTTGGGGAATTGTTATTTGGTCTCCCTGGGGGCCAATAAACTTTCAGTATTGAGAAGCAGAGTGAATTCGACAGAGTGTCCCCCATGTTGGCAGTGAGAAGAGAGGCTCTTCCCTGGTTCCAGCCCCAGTCCCCGCCCCTGTGAAACCCTTATAGTTCCCCCTGTGACTTTACTAGGGCCTCTTGTCATGAAAAACTCAGCCTCTGTCTTTCAAAGTGTGCACTAGATTTTTTTCCCCTGAACCTAATAAATCTAATATAGAAACATTCTAAAAGATTTTCACATAGTTATGACCTTTCATCTAATCATGAGATTTTCCTAAAAGCATAAATGTTCCTGCCCTATACTCTTAATGTGTGAAATGTCATGTTCTCTTCTAGTTAAGAAACCGAGGTGGGCTGGAGCCGCTGGTGGAGCTCCTGCACTCCAAGAATGACGAGGTCAGAAGGCACGCCAGCTATGCCATCATGGTCTGTGCCGGTGATGAGCTGACGGCCACGGAGCTGTACAGGCTCGGGTGAGTGGCCACCACCTCTGCTGGGAGGAAGCGCAGAAGGCGGAGAAGCCCTCCTCAGTCTCCACTGCGCTCCCACGGGGGGCAGAGTGCTCAGGAGCCCTGCTGTCCACAGCACAGGCCTCCCCTCTTGGGGGCCCACCTAGAGGCAGGGGCTCCCTCCCTCATGCCCCCGCTGAGGGTCCCCAGCTCTTCGCATAGTCATCTTCCATATTTCCCTGTCCATTTCTCCATCTGGATAAATGCTTCCTTTGGACCTTTCTCTGCCATTGTCAGACACAATCCTATCTATCTCTCCACTTTGAGGTCAAAACAAAACAAGTGAGTTGTGACTGTCATCTGCATTTTTCTCCCATACCCACCCATACCTTTTCGTCAGGATTCTGTACGTAACCTCCTTCCCTCAATCTTTTCTCCTTATAAATACCAAATTAGTTTGGTTTGCTTTACTGTAGTAGCAAGAAGGGTTTTTTTTTATTATTCATACACAGGTTTACTCTATTAATTTATATATATATTCCATTAATTTATATATATACTCCATTAATAAATACACACACACACACACATCTTAGTCAAAAAAGTTAGGGTTCAGTCCAATACAATGAATTTTTCTAAAAGTCTCTGCTTTAGTCAGCTTTCTATTGCTATAACAAATAACTGAGATAAATCAGCTTACAAAGAGGAAAGATTTATTTGGCTCACAGTTTTGGAGGTTTCAGTCCATGGTCAGCCGGCCCCACTGCTTTCTGGTCATGGTGAGGGAGCACAGTGCCACAGGGACCAAGTAGCAAAGGAAGTTGCTCATTTCCTAGCAGTCAGGAAGCACAGAGAGAGGGGAAAGGTCAGGGTGTCTATATCCCTTCAAGAGTGCATCCCCAGTGACCCTATTCCTCCTGCTAGACCCACTCTTAAAAATTCTACCACTTCCTAATAGTGCCAGAGGCTGCAACCAAACCTTCAGCACATGGGCCTTTGGAAGATCCTTTCCAAGCCATAGCAGTTGCATCACAACTGTTTGAATATGAGTTACTATGAGGCATATGTGTTCTCACACAGGGCTAATTCGTCTTCATAATTCCATCAGCATTACTTACCTAGAAGGGTAGGGGAGGTGTTATACTTCCCATGTCAGTTCTTCATTCAGGATCTTAAGTACATAAATGGGAACTCAATGTTGGATCGCTTGTAGAAAACAAATAAGGCCTTTTGCTTTTATTGACAGGGCTTTGGATATCCTTGAAGAAATTAGCCTATCAGTAAGACGAAAAAATAAATTCAGTGAGGCAGCTTATAACAAATTGCTCAACCATAATCTTTCCCTGAAATACAGCCAGACTGGCTATTTGTCATCAAGTAACATAATTAGTGATGGATTCTATGATTATGGTCGGGTAAGTGGTTACACTTATTTGTATTTTAGTCTGTATGATAATTTTTCCTTTAATCATGATATCATTATATTGCCATTTTATAAAGAGTGAACAATTTATATTTGTACAGACAGAAATTTAAAAATCAGCACTTTATCCTTAACTTTGTTTGGTTATAAGATTTTGCATTTTTTTGTGTAGTTTTACTAGAATCTATTGATTTGCAGTTAAATCGTCTTGCTAATGCCAGTCTCCAGTTTCAAATAAAGTTATAAAAGAAGCTTTTTAAATTTGGAGCAATTTTAATTTCAACTTTATTTCTTAAATAGTAAATTATATTACTTCCAGGCCTTAGTGTTAGTGAAAATTTTTTTTTTTGGTACCGGGGATCGAACTCTGGTCCTTGTGCTTGTGCAGCAGATGGCGAAACCACTGAGCTAAATCCCTGGCCCCGAAAATATTTTTTATTAACTATAATGGAATTGAAATTAACCTAGTTCTAATACTAGACTTTAAAATTTAATGTAGAAGAATATTATTTTATGTAACTTCCTTTATGATTATGATTTTAATATATAATGTAATTCAGTGTTATTGTTGAGAGAAACAGGAAGAAAAAAATTAAAATCTTAAGGACTTTTTTGATGTGGCTGCTAAAATTCACATTTTCTACTTCTTTTGGAAACCAAAAGCAATCAAGGTCATGAGGAAAACTTTAAAACCTCACAAATCCCGTTTTAGGAAAAATTGAGAAACCGATATGATTTGGGGACTTCAGAAAATTTTTAAGCTGGCCAAAAGCTCCTAAGTTTAGGAAGAAACTACAGGAGGAAAAAGGAGAAGAAAAATAATTGGAACAGGAGAAGTAGTGGTGGCAGATCTCAGAAAGTGCAGTCCTGTGCACACTTTCTGAGGCGGGAGAATGCAAAGGAGCAAAAGCATGAATGCTTTGTTTGCCAGGCAGGTGTGAGACTCAGGGCTGGGCCGGGCCAGGCAGAAGCCCTGTTGGACCAATTTGGTTGAAAAAACCCAGGGTAGACAGGGCCAAGAAAGGTTCAGGTAGCCAAGCTGTACTTGCAGGAGGGAGAGGATCATAGGAGCAGAGAATCTGAATAATGAGAAGCAGCCAGCCTAAGACTTGGCCTCCTGCGCTGCCGGAACTGTTCTCTGTAACGCCCTATGACACACACTGGAGCCGTCGAGGACCTCCGCCGAGAGATCCAGCTCATTCCATGTCAGTCATTGTAACAGAACGGACACATCACTACAAAGAGCAGCAAACACAATGAATAATTTTACATGACAGGAAGGAGATGCAGCGGTGTAAGGGGAAGTGGAGCAGAGAGGATTAAGGCGAAGTGTTGGGTTTGATGTTTGCCATTTTACACCTGGAGGTCAGGTGGCCTCACTGAGAAGGTGACATCTGAGCAGAGGCTTGGAGGAGGTGAGTGACTTAGCCATGGAGACATCTAGAAGAGTTCCCTTGTGAAAAGGCCAGAGGGTCGCACATGCTTGGCCATGTCTGAGGAACAGCAAGGCCAGTGTAGGAAGAGCTGATGACCCAATGGTGTGAGGATGAACCAGAGAGGCAGAGGGTGCTCGGACATGTGAGTCTGGAAGACCCTTGGAAGGAAGAATAAAGTGGGAAACTGTGGGAGAGTCTGGGCAGAAGTCTGAAGCGACCTGTTTTTAAAAGGATCGCTTCTTGTTATTCTAAAAAGATCCTGTAAGGGATTCTGCATGAGAAAGGATCTAACTATCACTTAATGGGAAACAGACCTCAGAAGTTATCCAGTCTAGCCCTTTTCTGCCGGGCAGGTAAGGTTGCCAGGATAGGGCTTTGTCCAGCCTATTTGTATTCATCCTCACAGCGCTTTCAATAATCCGGCTCAGAACTCACTTCTACAGGTGGTAAGTCCTCCCTAAGGTGCATAGACAGATTTGCAAACCCAAACCCTTTCAGGGGCGAAGGTGATAAGGACCGTGTGAGACACGTGAGGAGGCTAAAGCAAGAAAGGTTGTGGGAAACTGGAGGGAGGTATTCTGCTGACAAGCAATGGTGTCCACAAGCTCCACGTTCCTAGTTCTAGTTTATATTTGCACATCGCACGTGCGTGAATGAATCAGACTCCTCAAATGGTCAAGAACATCAGAATTCACTTCTAACAATAGGACTCTTGCAGAAAACAGTTTTCAGTCCATAAATTATCTTACAGATAAATCCTGGTACTAAACTTCTGCCACTGAAGGAACTCTGCTTGCAAGAACCTAGTGATCGACGCGCTGTTCTCTTAATCAACAATGAATCTGTTGATGGGTGAGTTTTTTGGAGGGTAGGAGATGCAGGGAAGCACATTTTTGTTTGTCAACAGATACCTTTCTTTTCTCCTGTGAAAATAAAACACGGGTACACAAACTCCTAGCTTGACACAGAATAACTATGAAAAGAATAAATAACTATGAAACAACCACTACCGCAAATCCAGCATGCTCTCTCTTTTCCTTTGACTTCCTTACTAAATTCCAGGGGATTTCTGACCTTAGGACTCTTGCCCCTGGAGTAACTGAAGTATAGAGAGGAGCAGATAAATTATGTCATCTGTAGAACCATGTGCTGGAGTATAACTACCACCTACCACCCACCATTTTTCTTTGAAATAAGTCAATGGTAGAGCTAAAAATTAAAGCTTTTACATTCTTGAAAATACATATATATATCTGTATATCCATACAGTACCTGTATATTACATTTTATACAAACATTTCCTGTCCTAGCTTGTGAAAACCTTTGTGATAATATTCCTTTTGTCTTAACATCTTCTAGTATGGTACTATTTCAAGTCTACTCCAAATATGACTTTCAGCAGGAAATTGTTTCATTGTACAAAGCTAATATTTAGTGAATTTTAGTTTGTGCCTAATTTCAAATATATAACATTTTAGTTCTCTACTTATGGAAGATAAATCATCAGACCTTAGTTATAGACGAAGTATTTCTTCTTCATCTTCACTAAGAAGAGCAAGTAAAGAAAAGACCACGTAAGAAAATGTTTTATCTATACTCAAATAATTCTCCCCTTCATCTGGGAGTGAAAACATTGTTTAGATTTTAGATTTTGGCAGTTTGATTCTTTTTCTTCTTCTAGTCATGTAATTGCTTTTTAAATTGCTGCAGCAAAGATCTCTGGAAAAGAGAATGGGAGGTCTGACTTGCAGCTCCTCCTGACTGCTGTGGCTCACAGTGATGTTGACGCATGTGGCTGCATGTCTGTTAGCAGATCTGGTTTCCATAGCTGTGGATGGAGGGTGCCTGGCCCCCTTCCTCCTAGGGGAGGAGGAATCCAATCCCAATGGATGCGAAAAGGCTTTGTAAACTATGAAATGACTCATACATGTAGCTTTATTGTTATTTCCCATATGATTGGAAGTGGTTGTGTTTTTTTCCAAATGACAAAACAAAACAATAGTTCTCTTTTTAGTACTGGATTTGGATCTCCCACAGAACTGAAATCAGAGCCTACTTCGGGAAGAAATACTGTTCTTAGCAAAAGTGCCACTAAAGAAAAAGGACCGAGGTAGGAAAGGTGTCTTTGTGTTCTTCTGATTATAAATCACACCCAGTTTTAGTTACTCAGCAGAGCTGGTGAAAGGGAGATGTGGCTTTTGTGCTTTTGCAGGGTTGGGGATGGGAGCCAGGCCCTCACACATGCTAGGTGAATGTCGTACTGTGAGCGACACCCTCAGCCCCTACAACTTCCTGTTTACAAGCCACCGCTCACAGTGTCAAATAGCGCAGAGGTGGAGCCCTGGCCTGGCATCTTCGAGGTCCTGGCTTCCACTCTGTTCTTACTTCTGAACTGTGTTGAACTAGACAAGGTTCCTGAGATGTAATTTAAAAGTGCCCTGAAGGCACCTTGCTGTGCCTTTATTTCCCTTGCTGTCTCTAAAATTAACGCACAGATAATTTCTTCTGACTCTGAATGAGAATTCAGGTCAGTCTGATCACTGTTAGGGACTACAAAATCCAACAGTTGCTTTAAATAAAAAACAGCAGTGACAACAAGCTCTGGTCAGCCTGTAAAGCCCAGCTGGGGCAGACATCACCTTGAAGAGCGAGTTCCTGCCTCCCCCAGCTCCTGTCTCCTGTTACCATTGCTCCCAGAATCTGCGGGGAGGGAAACTCGACACAGTGCATATTTGCTTGGAACAATTATAATGTTCATGTTTTTTCTTTGTTTGTACTTGCGGGGATTGGACCCAGGGCCTTTGCACTGAGCTACATCCCCAGTCCTTTTTTATTTTGATGCAAGACTTTTCTGAGTCTCTAGGTTATGCTTTGGTCCTGGTGCTTTGTAAATATTCTTTCTTCTACACGTTTACCTGTTTTTAAAACATATTTCTTCTCCTATGAGAACTTTCCTGGATGCTTGGAAAAGCCATTTGGACCTCGTGCCACATTCTATGACCCTTTAATTATTGTAAAAGCAATACTGAGGTTCACTATCAGAAGCTGTTTGGCACACACACCAAACACTTGCTTTCTAAGTGGCTCTAAGGTCTTCTAAGGTGGAGCCCAGGGTTTGCTCTGATGCTGATGCTCTGTTGCCCGTAATTCTGATCACTGCTTTAAGGGGCTCATTCTATGCCTGCTCGATTTCGCCCTTCCTTTCCTAGTGGCTTCTCTGAGCTTCTCTCCCACTGTCTGAAAGCTCTTTGAAGAAAAGAACATATTCTCACCTCAATAATTTCTTTCATCCCTAGTGTTTAGCACAGGGCTTGCTTGGCTTAGATAAGGATTCATGTTCACTCCAGAGACTAGAAATCTGAACTTTTGCAGGAAGAGATTACTGTTTCTGACAAATTCTACACTTGTTAGCTGTGTCTTGAGCAAATAGGTCACTTTCACTTTGCCTGAGTTTCCTCATCAATAAAATTGCAAGAAACCAGCCTGCTACAAATGCCTAACCGGAGGGGCAGATGGAGATTAAAGACAACACAGAGGTAATTTTGAAAGAGGAGCCAGGGGGCTTTTGCCTCTAGTGGACAAAGAGCCCTGACCATCTGGCTCACCTCGCTTTTATTGAGGCAAGGGAGCAGGGAATCAGGTTAAGGGGAAATTCATCTATTCTTCATTATTTGCAAAGTGTACCCAGGTAAGTATTTTTCTAAACTACATCTCAGGTGTTGTTGGCTTCTTTGGAACTTTGCACGTTGCCAGAAGAATATCAGTTTGCTGTTCCTTCCTTCATGTCCACAGGGAAGGTCAACTGGGCCTCGATCCTTATGTCTAGTTTCCCACCTAAAATGGAAATAAAGAGAGTCCCTCCCTGGAGCATTGTTGTGAGGATTAAGTTACTACACGTGCCTGGAGAGGTGCTCAGCAGAGTAAACGGTTGTTAGTTAGCCAACTATTGTACTCAGCAGTTGTGAGGAGCCAAACCCACTCAGGTCTTGCAAAGGTAGAAAAGATCCCCCTAGAATCAGATGCAGGTGAACAGCCAGCCGAAGGCAGGTAAAACCTGGGAGTGAGGGCGAGGACTCCCTTCCTTCTTTTTCTCTACAGATGGGTGGTGTCTTATCTGCAGTCCTTTTGTCTTCTTTGCTTCCTTTTTGCTATGTCTCACCAATATTTTTAGCTTTTCTTATTTCTTTTGCTTGGGACCAAATCTGGCCCCAATCCCAAAACAGCCATGGAATACATTGAGTGTGGAAGCCCCAACACAATCTAATACAGTCTCCGTATCTTCGTGCATATTTATGAGACGCACAGGCCAATGAAAACGCTGACTGGCTTTGAGGCGGGGCTGTCCCTTTGGTCTACTGCTCTGGCCCCTGGGAAGACTCAGCCTTCTGCCCCCTTGAGAAGGGAGGGACAGACATCCTGTCCATATCAGCCTTTAGCTAAAAAGCCCACCTCTCCCACGGGTTCTGAGAGCACTCAGCTTTTGATCTTTGGTTCATCTGTTATTCTTGACTGTTCATAGCCTTATTTTTCTTACAGTTCAGTCTGGTTTTTAATCCTAAATCCTTTCGGCCACCTTTTGGGTTGAAAGTTACTTTATATACTTGTGAAGATTAAAATGCTGATTTTTAGGCTGCTATGGATTGTTGTACTTGGATATTTGACATTGTTTTTCTCTAAAATTTTAAAACACATCTTTATCTCATTGAGTCCATGTCACTTTGTCCTGTGGATAAATCCCTTTAGGAGGGGCCGTTTTACTCTCTCCCCACCCTTCCTAAAACCTTCAGTGTTGATGCTCTCCAGGATTCTTCATCTATGCCTTCTCTTACTTTCTACATTTTAGCTACAACTCAGATTTGTACGCCAGCCTAGACCCCCTCTGAGTCCAGGCCCTTATATCTGGTTACCTGTTTGTGTTCTCTATCCTACATCCTTCAGGAAGCTCAAGTTCAACATATCTCAAACTGAACTTGTTGTTCTCCCCAACTCCCAAACTTCCTCCTTGTCTATTCTCTGTAGTGGTTAATACTACTCCTATTCCCAAACAATTGCCAGGCCAAGGAGCCATCCTAAAGTCCTTCTCTCCTGGTGCTTGATGAATCTCTCAGTCCTGTCCACTGCGTGCCTTAAATGTCTCTTAGATTGATTACTTCCTGTTTTCACTGTTACTTCCCCAGCTCAGGTCTTTATATTAGATCTCACTCATGTAACCTCCTCATCGTAAGATCTCCTGCCTCTTTTCCTTGCAGTATTGGGAGCAAACCCAAGGCCTTGTGCATGCTAGGAAGTCTACTACTTTTCCTGCCTGTATGCATAGCTTTCCATAAATACACCCATGATCACCCCATCCCTGAGCTACCACCTTGAGATGAAAATCTGGTCACATTGTTACTGAACCCAGCCTGTTTTGGCAGCTACTCAGTAACACAAATGATGGAAATGACCAAGTTTTACAAGAGAAAGTTCCCCCTCCACGGGAGGTATCCAAGCATGGAGACAGAATCCACCCCTTCAAGGCTAGGTTTGGGAGAGATTTGTGGGCTGAGGCATGGAAGAAGGTACCTGGAGCTCAGGCAGCACTGGTGGTCTGTGCCTGTGCAAGCCAACTTCATCAGCTGTTGCTGTAATGACCCACACATCAGAGGTGTTACCTGCACCTCTAAAATTGCTGATTTTTAGAATTGTTTGGAGTGCTGGTTTGGTATTCATGAGGTTTCTCAGATGTTCTTTGTCATGGAAGTATCTAATTTCCCCATCAATTTTGAAAGATAATTTTTCAGGATACAACAGTCTAGGGTGGAGGTTATTTTCCTTTAGGGCTTGAAATACTTCATTCCAGGCTCTTCTTGACTTGAGCGTTTGTGTTGTGAAGTCTGCTGTGATTCTGATGGGCTTTCCTTTGTATGTGATTTGTTTCTTTTCTCTAAGTGCTTGTAGGATTTTGTTCTTCTTTTGGGTTTCTGGGATCTTGACTATTATATGTCTAGGTGTAGATTTTTTTAAATCATGGCTAGTTGGAGTCCTATATGCCTCACTTATCTGTATGTCCAATTCTCTACCTCTGTTTGGAAAGTTTTCTGCCATTACTTCTTTGAACAGTTTTTTTTTTATGTCATTTGCACTTTCTCCTGCTTTTTCATGGACTCCTATCAGTCTTTTGTTATTCTTCTTTGCATATCTAGCAGCTGCTGGATCCTTACTGTTTTTAAGAAATCTCTCTTTTCATGGTCACTAACTACAATCCTGTCTTTTGTATCTGATATTCTATCTTCACATTGGCTCAATCTGCTGTGAATACTTTCAATGGAGTTTTTAATCTCCTGGATATCTGTTTGAATCTGTTCATGGATTCCATTTCTTTCCTATGTTGGGCATTCATGGTTCCATTTCTTTCCTATCCTAGGCATTCATGGCTTCCATCATGGTCCTGAGCTCATCTATTTTTTTTTATCTGTTTTTGTTCTAGAGTCTCTAATCCTGCCTTTCATTTTGCCCACCATCTCTGTAGTTATCTGGGAAATTATTTCTATTTTGAATTTTTCTAGAGCCTCATTCTTCTGTTTTGTTCCTTCCTGAGCTATCAGTTCAGGGTGTCCAGGTGGTTGATTATCAGATCTTTCCACTTCTTTGCCCTCAGAATTTGCCTGTGGTGAGCTGGAAGTCTGGGTTTGTGCCTCGTTTAGATGTCTTCTCATTTCTATTTTTGTTGTTGGTGCTTTTTTTGGGTTAATTCCTGGGATAATACTTCAATATTGCTTATTGTGAGTATCTTTATTGCTTGTATTTAGAACCCTTATGGAATGATTGCTTCTCAGAAGTATCTTCCAGGTATAGCTGGTCTTTAGGCTTTGAGTCTCTAATGACTTGGGCAATCTCATTTTCAGTATACCAGGGAGGACAACTAATTAGATCAGTCACAACACCTTAGCCCAGTTGACACTATCAGCATCAACAATAGCATCAAACACAGCTTAGAAAATGACAATTTGTGGTAACAATTAATCTGTCACCTTTAACCTCATGAGCTAGATCAAAATTGAGGACCAGCCCAAAATATGTTTGTAGTAAATAAATCCTTCAATATAGCAAATTTACCCTTTGGGATAAGGA